GTGCATTGCATATCTACCGTTGGATGAAGAAGCGATCGTCCAGACAGGTTGCCTGGATGGCGATAACTGTTGATGATGCTCATTTCCCAACTGCCAGATAACTCCAGCAGGTTATTCCCAGTGGTGGGAATTATGACGACGAACGTTGACAACTTCCTTGGTACGGAAAACGAAAAACCGGTTTGACACAATACGAACGTACCGGGCGGAGTCGGTTTCAGCTGCCCCTAGTCGGGTCCCACCCGCCGAAGCGCCAAGGTTCGATTCGCTCGACAGCTGCTTGCCCTTTTTGATAGTCTGTTGTCGAACAAACTGTTTTATCCCTTCTGGCCCTCTGGTTTGAGGCCCACCTAGGTTTGTTTGCCCTTCCCGAACCAAGACCGGATGCTATCTTTCCGATCTTCCCCTCCCCTCCCATCCCCCCAAATTGATGTCGAGCACAATGATTATTAACCGCCACCGCTGAGTGAGCTTGAACACCAAAACTCCGTCACATGATTCTAGCGGGGATCGATCGTCCCGTGATGCTGCCGTGCCCCACCACTTCCTACTGCTTCGGGAACTTTTCCCTAAACCCAATTTGATTAAGTTTGATGCTTCAAGGCACCATGGATAATATCGCTTCACTCTATTCTCTACTACCGAAAGGCAACCAGATTTGGTGCCATTGGCCGCTGTCGAATCATTCGGGTCATATCTGATGTATCGCTTATCATCTGCAAGTTAGGTCTCATTCTTATGATATGAGTCGCTGGGGTGGATATCTCGCATGCATGGCTTAACTTAGTTCACCAAAATTTGGACTGTCATAAACTCTAAAGCTAGATAGCATCCCTTGAGCAAGATTGCGCTGTCCCGGAAATCCGATGTACCTCAGCTCCGCCGCTTCGTCCTTATATGGAGCAACATGCGAAAGCGAAATTGATTCTATTAATACGAACGGAACCCAAGGATGCGCTTGATGATCCCTTATCGGAAATCAGCACCGCAATTCCTAGTGCGCCCACATTGGGATAATGCCGCCAACTGGTGGGTCTCCTGCGCGTCATGGCGATGACGAACGTGTTCTCGCACAGAAAGTATAGTAGATAGTCGGGGCCCCAGAGGGCAGTACATTTGATTGCTCTTGCTTGTTCTCTTCGGCTCTTGACCGTGCCGCTTTGTGGCGACCAAGAGGGATGATGCCAAGTTCCCCTTCTATTAAGATTCCCAGTGGGCTTGACCGTCGGACTTCCTAAGAGCGCCTTGCATGCAGGATCCAGCGCAGGATCTTATTCCTGACGAAAAGCCATCTCACTTCACCCTTTCATCTGACAGTTAACTGTGTATTATGCCACTCGCGTCACTTTCACGTTCATCCCTTTCTGTCGTACGAACCATGCATTGACCACCTCCCACTCAGCTTCCGGATCATTCAATTCAACCTGTAACAGCCACCCGTCAGCCAGAGATCGCAAATTGCCAGAAAAAGAGGCGATGGCAATGCACATACCTTGTATGCCAAGAGCAACGATGGTATCAGCTTATATATCTCCAACAGACTGATGTTCTTCCCAATGCAGGTTCGGGGGCCGGCCCCAAACGTCAGCGTTGCCCCTAGCATATTCTGCCTTCGTATCTGAAACTCCGCTTCTGATTCATCGTTACCCCGCAGCCAACGCTCAGGGACGAACCTGTCAACCTCTTTGCCAAAAATAGCGTGGCGATGGATTATCCACGGATTGACTCCAACAACAGTCCCAGCGGGGAGGAAGGGGCCGTTTGGCAATTGGAGGCCTTCTGCGGGGACTACCCTCTCCAAGAGGAGTCCTACGGGTGGATGCAGACGAAGAGCCTCCTTGATGACAGCGTCGAGATATGGGAGTTCCTGGCTTTGTTTCCACGATACAGGAACGGTAATTTGGCCAGCTTGGAGGGCGCTATGCAATTCCTCCTGCAGCTTGCTCAATACCCTGGGGTTCTTCAACGTATAGTATAGGATCGCTCGAAGAGAGATAGCAGTGGTATCAGAGCCTGCATTCACATTGCTGACTGTGTATGAGAATACCTGGGCGTCGTCGACCACGTCAGGGTGAGTAGATTTCGCCTCCAAGAAGCGGGTCAAGAAGTCTTTCTGACGACCAGGGAAATCATCTCGCTTACTGCCATCCTGAGACAGCCGTTCATGCAAGCGGTCGCGGGCGAAACGAGCAACAGCTCCTGTAGACCCGCCCCGAATAAGCTGCCAGACAGGGTTCTTGACAAAGACATAATCAAGCCAGGGCATTTGACCAATCTAAAGACGAACGACCTGTTAAAATGGAAAACCAAATTGTTGGCATGCAACCCACCTTTCCCGCATAATCGAACAACTCCTCCAACGACTTGATGATACCTTCCACATCACGACCCTGCTGCAAGAACCCAAGTTGTTTACTGAACGTCATCTCACCAATGACATCGAACGCATCTAACCCATGTCAGCTTACAGCCAACAACCAGTGCCCCAAAACTGATGCCTTACAATACTGCAACCACGTCGAAATATCAAACACACTCCTCTTCGCCGCAAACCCATCCAACCGCGCAAAAAACGTCCGTATCGTACTATCCACAAACGGCTCGAACTCGGCAACCGTACTCATCGAATAAGCCGCCGACACGGGTCGTTTGATTCTAGCATGAAAGTCCTCGTCAAGGGACGTGAACAGCGTTTTAGTCGGCTTTCCCTTTGCAAGTTGTTGCTGGACGCGATAGAATGCCGTCTATGCATGCATGGTTTATTAGCATATTCGCACAAACATACTTCGCCCTCCCAAACATTCTTTTTAGAAACAGTAGTCACAAAGGATAATATAAATAATACCTTCTTATACCCCCTATTAACCCCATAAATCACCTTCAACACCTCCACATTCCACACACTAACGACCTTCGGTCCCAATCGCACATACTCACCATGTTCCTGGTGTAGCCGATAATGTGTGATCTCCGCTTTGCCTCGCGCTACATCTACAAACCGCCACAGATTGGTGAGTTTGGCGAGGAATGGGCCTGAGATGTGCGATACTCCGGGCGTGAAGTAGTTGCGGGTGAGGTGGATGATGAGGATTGTTAGTAGGATGGAGGGGATGTGTTGGGAGAGGTACGCGATTGCGGTGGTAAGGAGGGCCATGACGATAGCAATGGTAAAGGGTTGAGGGATGTGCTAGTAGTAGGATACCAACAGGATGGGAGAGTTGCGGTAAAAGTAGTAGGCTGATGTAGATGTATGATTCTATATAGGTATTAGAATCCCCGCATGAGAGCGGAACGAGTCCCGTTATTTGGGAACTGGTTGCCGAGGATGAGTTGTCGTATTTTTTTAGAATAGTAGTGGTCTTTGGCATTGGAGGATGAGTTGGTTATACACGTGTTGTAGAGTATAACGGTTGTATTAATCTACGGTGTGCGGGGAAGGCTGTGGCGAGAGAGAGAGAAAGTAAGGAGGATATCCGCACCACTGCAGCATATGCACGGTTAGTTGGTCTTGCATTTTGAATGATATCCTGCGGATTTCCGCCGGAAGTAAGATGCCGATTGTGTTTTAATGTCACTCCCAATATGCATATAGTATCTATCATGATGCTTTTCAGGTCCTTTATTCCACAAAGAATTTCATGCTAACGAAGTCTCATCTCATGCAGTCGTGATGCTCAAACATGTTCATATCATATATATATCTAGCCAAGCCGAAACATTCATGTCTTTTTAGTCCCTGTTCCCGGTGTTTCTCCCGTCATTTCGTATCACTCTTAGCTCGCACACTCGGCTCGAGATACCTATCTACCTGCTGAACCGATAGCAGGCAGCAGCGGCTCACTAAAGAGTGGCATACTTGCGTGTCCACTCCTTCGCGACCTCCTCATACCGACTGTGGTCATTCTTGAATTGCTCTGCAATGCGTCCCTCAACGGCATCATCGGGCATCGGTTCCGCTAGCAGTTGACGCGCGAACTGCAGTACCGCCAGGATCTTGGAGCTAGGTTTCCACTCGTCCGCGCGAAGCATGCCCAGACACATGCTTCCCTTGTCATCGTTGGTCACATTGGGGTGGTATATCTTCGTTTTGAAGGAGACAGTAGGGGGTTTGAAGGGATATTCGGTGGGGAGGGAGAGGTTGAGTAGGAATTTGCCGTTCTACGTATGATACGGTTCCTGAGTGTTAGTGAGGGTTCATATTGCCTCCTTGACATCGATGACAGGTAGAAAAGACTCACCTGGTAAGGAGATTTCTCAGGTCCATCCATATATACGTTCCATGTGTAAAGGTTGGATTCGTCGGCCAACTTCACCACGATGCCCTCCGGGGGAGACTCGACAAGCTCGGCGAGCTCCTGTGAGTCATGCGTTAGTCAATTGTGCTCTCATTATGCACCCGGGTAGACATCGCGCAGATTATGAAGAGGAGATTCCCTGTTCTGCTCACCTTAGCTATCCGTTTCTGACTTCCCATGGTGTGTGTTGTGTCTGTTTGCGATAGAACCTGACAAGTGTTTGTCGGTGTAGAAAGAAGAGCGGGGTAAGATGCTGAAGGGACGCGGTCGGGGACGGCGGCGGAGAGGGGTTATTGCGAGACGTGAAACCCAAGCATCAACTGTGGAGTGAATATGGCCCAAGTCTCTTGAAAGCTGACTATCAGTGACAGGGCAAATGAGTCGTGGCGGAGCAAGTGCAGATGGAAGGGGGAGCTGCGCTGGTCGGGAAACCCCGAAGCTCTTTGGCAATTGATTAGCGGGGCGGGTCAGGCGGGGCGGAGGATCGGCTGGTCGCAGTGAAAGACGTCAGCGTCAATCGATCCCCTTTACACTTAGTTATTTACTATTGCCGATTCTCCAGATGGAATTGCGATACTTCAACACAGGTAAATTAGAAATATCATTAAATATCATCGCGACAAGTATTCTATAAAAAGACCAAACGCCGTCACTGTCTAACATGGCCCAAGAATAACTGCATACTATTTTCCAACCCGCTTTGAGCTACACAGCGGATGGTCCAGGCGAACCTTTGCTGAGCTTGCTGACTGTCTCATCTTCCCAATACTTCTCCTGTTTACCTTTGTTCTTGATAAGACCAACAATGTCGAAGGGATCAATAAGGGTCAAGATGACTGGTCGGTGATCGTCATAACCAGGTCCTTCGATCTCGGTAATGCCATCCCTGTCAAGATATATTCTGTTGGAGCGTGGAAGCCACTGCATCGGATGGCAGACATTCAGCAAGATGGTATTCAGGTACATGACAACAGCCTCAAAAATCCAGAAAAACCACTCATCCTTGAGGATTGGGCTAATCTGGTTGCCGCCACTATAGATATTGAGACTCGTGGCGCTGAAATATTCCACCGTCCGGTAGATCGTGCGCACAGTAATGAGGGTGCAACTGCAATACAACACGTACAAGGCCCGCTTGATCTTGCCGTTCAAGACACCACCACGATGACAATTGTAGTGGAATCTGGCAGCTAAGGCAACAAAGGCAGCCATAAGCACAAGTTGCAGGATCAGAGCTGCTTTAAGCAATCCCTCTCCTGTCTTTCTCTTGCCTTCCGTCGCCTCAGAGTTAGCAACCAGCGCAGCCCCGTTGCCGGTGATAGCTTCGATCACAACACCGACCGCCACAAAAGTGGTGAAAACGCGACCAGGATGAATTGGCGAATGGTATGGGATGTAGTAAAGGATGCGGCCCAGAGTGAAGTAGTTGGCGCCCTCATAGACGGGTCTGTACGCTAGTCAGTGGCATTCTATCAATCCGCATCAATAAGCACTCACGGTGCAGCCAGCAATAGAACGGTGCTCGCAATGTAGATACCCACATTCCCCCACTGTCCAAAGGCGCCGATAGTACGCATTATGAACCCAGCTGTAAAGAGAAGAGCAGACCATGGTAGGAGACCGGTCACTTTCCAAGACTTGTACTGGCTGTCATCATCGTTAGGAACTGTATGGGAATAGCACTTGGGTGAGCATGCATACCAACATTGGTAAATGTGTACCATCCCAGAGACAGCAAACATTATTGCGAAAGAGATGGGTGCTCCTTGGTTGGGCGCATAGTACCAGAGACTTCCCTCCTCTTCTTGGCGTTAGTGTATACAATATATATAGAGAGAGAGAGTATGTGTAGGCTTGGCGGGTAGGGGTTCCATACGATAAGGGGATCTTTTGTCAAGCATCATCTTGTACCGACCTGACTATGTGACACTGTAACTGAAGCAAGCGGTTGTGATAGAATAACTAAAATGTGATAGCATGATCTTTGCTCCATCTTCGTTCATCTACCCTGTATATATACTGTCTTCACATCTTCAGCCTCTGACTGTTAGAAGAACAAGCGAAAACGAGCACACCGTTTTGGGTTAGTGCCTGATCCAAGCCATGAGCCTGGGAGATTGGCTTATTGGGCCCGCGAAAACATCGCCTCAACCTTATTGACTTTGGGTACTGCAATGAAGACCCTGAATCTCCTACGCGGCTCCACATACGATGGCTGAGAACCAGAGGTGGCATCTCATAAAGACGATTGGCACGTCACATGGGCAACCACCTGGCTCATGAAGTAAGATAGTTGCTGGATTACAACAAGCGCCAAGAGTAGCGAATACGAGCAAGGCTGAGCCGGGCGCAACTTCAGGCACTAAGGCCATCTCGCACTAGAAACTCTATTTCCCGCCTGAATCTGCAGGCACACAAATACGAGCTTACATCATGCGCCACCAGTTGTCAGGACAACACGACACCAACCCGAAAGGGCAAAGTCAACATAACGTGATTGCTGGCCTGGGGAAAGTCTCGCCTTCTCCAGCTTCGATGGTGCTTCGATCTGGACCTCATATCCGCCCAAAGACGCACGACATCTCGCAGTTACTCCACTCTGTTCAATCGAATGTGAACAGACAACGTGGACTGCTACCCACCATGAGCTCGACAAAGTCCTCCCCCGCATCTCTATTCCAGGTGTACCTCCGCCTGCGGCCACCAATGCCGCAGCATTTGGAGGAGCACGCTGAACGATGCTTGACAATCGAGACTCCAGAGCCAAAGGTCACTGTTGAAGATGACCAGGAGACGGCAGCCGCCTCTCCCACCCATATCACCCTGCAACCCCCATCCGATTCGCGAAAGCGTGCCGTTGAAAGGTTCGGCTTCACCAAGGTGTTCGAAGAGTCAGCGTCTCAGCTAGACGTCTTCCATGGCACCGAGTTGGAGTCTCTGATTAGGGGTGTATTGGTTGAGGGTAGGGACAGCCTTATTGCAACGTTGGGAGTAACAGGTAGCGGAAAGGTCGAGTCCACCGCAGCACCATGAGTGACCTTGAACATGTACTGACAAGGACAACCTGCAGAGCCATACAATCCTGGGTTCGAGGTCGCAGCGAGGAATTACCCAGATGAGTCTTGACCTTATCTTCAACTCCTTGGCCTCGACTATCAGGCCACCCGACAATTCCATTAGCCCTCTTCTTCTGTCCACTGTGGCCGCGTCAGATGCTTCCGAAGCCCAAATGTTCACGGCGCAGACATTCCTCGAGGCTGTGTATGGCGACCCTGCCGAACGTGGAAGGAACTCAAGAGCCCAAACGCCGATGAGTACTGGAAGAGCTACCCCTATGACGGTATGGCGCCCTCCCCCCAAAGCTCCGCTGCAAGGCACTGCACGGTTTTCCCCCTTAGCCGCAGCCCACACTGGTCTTTATTCCAAAATATACAGCGAATCTCTCTCGAGAACATGCTACATCAATCTTCTCACCATGCATCCTAAATTGAGAGAAAAGATGAAGCACGACTCGTGCACTCACTCGACTTCTGGTAAAACCGCTCGTGCTAACATGTCTCAACCGGCAAAGGAACCGACACCTGCACTTATATTCCCCCGTCGCAATATGCCCCAACGTCCTAACGGCCTGCTTCGCTCGCCCGATGTCAGTCACCTCACCATGGAGCTCAACCCTAACTCCGAATATGTCGTCCTGGTGTCAATGTACGAAGTTTATAATGATCGCATCTTTGATCTGCTGTCACCTGCTATAGTACCTGGCCAGGGAAGTACTATGTCCCGTCAGGGAGGCAATGCGCAGAAGGACCGACGCAGGGCATTATTTTTCAAGCCAACGGAAGGGTCCCCTGACCGGAAGGTTGTTGCGGGACTACGCAAGATAGCATGCAGCACCTACGAGGAGGCTCTGTCGGTGCTTGAAGTTGGCCTTACTGAGCGCAAGGTCACTGGAACCGGAGCCAACAGCGTCAGCTCTCGCAGTCATGGTTTCTTCTGTTTGGAAGTCAAAAGAAGAATGCGAAACAAGAGGACTGGCGAAGAAACTTGGATAGGCAACACCCTCACGGTGGCAGATCTTGCTGGTTAGTATGACTCTTCGCTTGCTGTTATAAAGCTAACACGAACAGGCTCTGAGCGCGCGCGAACTGCTAAAACGGCTGGTTCGACCCTTGCAGAGGCCGGCAAGATCAACGAGAGTTTGATGTACCTTGGGCAATGCCTTCAGATGCAGAGTGACATACAGGACGGAAATAAGGTATGCTAGGATACAGAATTGTTATCAGTTCCCGAAAGGCTGCTAACATAAATAGGCTGCCATGGTTCCGTTCAGACAATGCAAACTCACTGAACTGCTTTTCTCGAACTCCTTCCCGTCTTCCAACCAGGCTACTGGCCTCAACCGTCACCCACAGAAGGCTATTATGATAGTCACTGCCGATCCTATGGGTGACTACAACGCGACTTCCCAAATCCTGCGTTACTCGGCATTGGCTCGTGAAGTTGCCGTACCTAGAGCTCCCTCAATTGCCGAGTCTATCTTGTCCAGCACGCTTGGATCTCGTCACGGATCCGCTAGTGGACGCAACACTCCCAGCATGGGCACAAACGAAGAGCTTGAGAAGGCCCTGGCAGAGATCGCAAGACTGACGGCAGAGAATGAATCTCTCTCAGTGAGACTTGCTGAAGAAGAGATACTCAGGACCGATTTCGAGCTGAGACTCAAGGCAAGCGAAGAACGATGCATCATGATCGAGCAAGAAGTGCGCGAAGAATGTTGGAATGAGATGGACGAGCGAATGGAAGAGGAGCGAAAGAGATGGCAAAATGCCTTGGATCAACAAGTAGGTCTCATTCGAGTGCAGTCTAATCCACCGCATACTAATCAAACCAGTCTGGTTTTAATGACGAGCATCTCGACAAGAAGATTGAAATCGTGTCCCGAGGATTTCAAAGTAAGTTGTGGCCACAAACATCCTCCCACTGAAGATGCTCACAACCTCTCCAGTTCACGAAGACCCCCAACCCTCCTCAGACGAGCGGGTCGAAGATCTCGAGTTCGAGAACGACCAGCTTCGCAGCAAGATTGCAGCCCTGGAACGCGAGCTGAATTGCCGCTCTCCTACCAAGAAGTCCCGGTCGAAGAATACTCTGGAGACTTCTCGCAATTCCAACATCCTTGGACGCGAAAGTGACATCGAGGTCGCTCTCAAGCGAATGGACCAGCTGAAGCTTGCGGATAGCATGTTTTCTCCTGCTCCGCAGCCCACTGGTTCACCCGGCAAGAGGCAGAGAAAGATGGCGACTCGGAAATGGGACTTGGCTCCCGAGGAAGATATCTAAACTGTTGCCGAAAGAATGCTGTCTTCTTGTATACGTTTGGCAGGATACCTCTCGTTGGACATAATTACTTGCTTGATGGTGTAACGGTTGGGAAGGATGTATCAGGCGTTCCGGTGGATTATTTTGTTGATACCAATATTCCCCTTTCTTGTTATAATATTAATAGTTCTCTATGATACATGAAGCTTGTTGAGAAGTACCTCCTTGAACGCCTACCGTTCGTTGCACGCCATGAAGTACATGAGACCCTAACGCATACTTCGAAAGTCAAATGGTCATATCAAACATGAGCACGAATGATTCGACACTCGCACGGTGGTTAACCATCACTTATGTTTCCATTACTTCCGGTTCAGAACCAGCTTCGCTTTCCTGATCTGTTCCGGGAATCTCAGCCTGCTCAACGTCATCCATCTCGTCATTATCCTGCACACCTTCCATTTCGGTGATATCGTTGCCATCTTCATCCTCTTCCGGATCCCCCTCCCCCTCCCCCTCCCCTTCATCTTCGCCTTCACCCTCCATGTCTTCGTCCCCGCCAGCTTCATTTTCATTCTCTTCTTCGCCTTCCATTTCATCATCGTCACCGTCGCCAGGGTCTTCGCCTTCTTCGACCATAGTCTCGCCTTCACCCTCTACAAGCTCGGTATCTCCCTCCATGTCTTGCCCTTCATCACCATCGGCACTGGCCTGGGCAGACATCTCCGACTCCGGATCCATGGAACCCCGGTCATCGAGGTTAGGGAACAGTAACTTGCGTTCAGTTGTCAGCTTGGCCAGTCTCTCGTCGTCCATTTCGCTGAGTTCGCTCTCATCATCCGCGCTATCATGCAGGCTGTTAGGAATATCGCTCTGCTGCCCTGATCCGACATCTTCAGTTCCAGGTTCAAGCAACCCTGATTTGTTTGTCTGCCTGGGAGCGGAGGTTGGACCGGCTTCGGAAATGTTGGCTTGTTCGGCTTCTGTGTTGGCAGAAGTTTTGGCCATGGGTGCACGCGGGGGCACTTTACGATTGACAATCGTCTCGGCTCGTTTTTGGATGTCACGTCGTGCGATACCCTTTGTACGACCGCGAGGTGCAGGTGCTTCAGAGGCTGGGGCTGAGGTTGGAGGCGTAGGAGTATCGGCAGCTCCGTCACTGACCATGAGAAGATGATCGACTTTCATCTTCTCTTTATTTTCTTCATTCGCTTGTTCGATGACTTGTGGCATGTTGACTTCGTAAAGTCGGGCGTAGAGGTCTGCAATAAGGTCTTCGAGCAACGAGACCTTCATAAGGTTGTTGTTGAGCTTTTTCAGCTCAATGGCATCTCGAAGGAGTTCAAGAAGGGATGGGCTTTCTGGGGATAACTGTGCAAGGCCTTCCAAACGGGCTGTGTTTGCGACAAATTCTTCCCAACCAATGGGCTTGAATACGCCCTCTTCATGGCCCTCGCTGATATGGCCAGCTCTCCGGATTACCCTGGCATAGGTAAGACACGCATCCTCCCAAAGCTTGCTGTGATTGATAAAATCCCCCTGCTTCTTCCTTACTCGGCGCAGTAATTGGTCGAGGTTTGCTCGATCATTGAGCTGGTCGAGGAGGTTGACGAAGAAGTAAGCGTAGCGTGTGGTGTAAACGAAATGCCGACCAGGTCGCTCAAACTCAGGTCTCCAGACCTGGATTGTCATTGTTTTGGTGAAGATCTGCTGGGTAAGCTCGTTCTTTGCGGAGGCGGCTGCATCTGCAGAGTCTTTGTCGTCATCGTACATAATATGTGCAGCCTAGACACAGTCAGAAATTGCTCAGTATAAAATATGCTATACGAGAGTGTACGTACCCTGACAGCCATACGATGGTGCCAATTTGATTTGTCCGCTTTCTGCAGGCTCCGAAGCACCTCGAGTATGTATCTCTTCCATGCCGTCTGGTCTTCCGGAGGCTGGACTTTGCGAGCCCAAGGTGTTGCCAGGAGCGTTTTGCTTCCCTCCGCAGCCTGAGTGGAGAGTCAGTCATGTCAACAGGTTTGAGAATTAGAGACTCGCATACCGTTAGAGTCCCACGATGCACAAGCTTGTGTACTACCGAGACAAGCTTATAATGTGGCTCAAATATAGGATCAGAGCGTGAATCCCTCCGCTGCGGCAGGGCATCGATGGCATCGAGCAGGGAATCCAAGACCACGTCGACTTCAATCCGTCTAAAAGAACCTCTAACAGATTCATCACAGCTGAACATCTTCCAGAGGCATTTACTCCGCATATAATGAGTCCTAAGTTGCAGTTAGCTTATGACAGATCACCGGCGGAATAACAGGGTGACATACATCCAATTCTTGGGCTTGTCGACAAGGGCACGCTTAAGCAAGTAGCTGGCAAGATTCCAGACGGTATAAAGCTTCATCTCCCTAAAAGGCCTTCCTTCATACATCCGCTGGTCTTCCTCGCCACTAAAATGCCGCGTGAAATCAGCTAGACTGAAAGCCCCCATCGATAGGGGCGCTCGCGAAGAAGAGTATAGACGGATACCAAAATCAGTGAACAGATCTGAGAGCATTGCGCGAGTCTCAGCCGTTGGTTCTGAGTATTTAATAGCTGTTGCAATTGCCATTGCGTAGCAATGAATTGCGTTGCGTTGCCAGGTGACCAACTCCATCCGATTGTTATTGATCTTATCAGCAGACCAGGTAATATCCTCCTCAAGCTTCGAGTCATACGTCTGGGCGAGCCGGTACCAGGTCTCCCATCTTGACGTTCCGTGCTCCAAATCTTGTCTGAACCATACGATTGCATCGTCGAGATCCGTTGTGGGTACGGGATTCAGACGCTTCTGGGAGCGAAACTTTGTCAAAGCAGCATGACCCAGAAGGAAGTACCAGCCATTTTGGGCAATAACTGCACTTTCTGCAGGTACAGGAATTAGTGGGAGGTCAGCCACTCCCTGAATGGCACGGGATATCTCAGAAGGATTGATTGGTGACTTCAAGTAGGCGGTGATGATACGCTTGTTGTATGATAGCGGAGGCGACGACTTCGTAGTACCGATGGCTTGCTGCATCTTGTCAATAGTAGATTTCAGCTCGGATTTTGACAGGTCCTTGATATTCATCTTCTTGGCCTGCTTCATGACGAAGTCCACCATGACGATCGCCGTGGAGCGGTCCAGCTTTTCGGGAGGACATCCATGGTCATTCAATGAACCATCCACCGGGGACAACTTGATACCATAGATATCGTACAGGATTTGACAGATATCCAGCTCGATGTCCTGCTCCACATCAAGAGTGAATATCTCAGACCTGACCAGTTTGAGAAATTGCTTATGGGAGAACCTGCACATCCTGCGAATCCCGAGGGCATTGTGTACCGACCGTAAGTAATGTACGCGGTCTTCCATGGGTGTATCGAAAGCTTCAGGATTCTGTGTAATGGCGTCCTTCAGTAGCGTATACTGCAAGATCCAGCAACGGACTTGCATCTCGCGCAGCTTATCTTTCAGACCCTCCAGAGACTTTGCCAATGCTCCACGGAGCTCCGGTCCTGACAGTTTACCTACACGAACCAAGTCTTCGTACAGGGCAAAACTGTGGAGGAGCTTTGTAAGACGAGCGACGGCAGACATTGATGATCTTAAATGTTCCATGTCAAAGCACTCATACGCTTTTTCCGATTCATGTAAGACGATCGTGACAGCTTTGCTTAGAATGCTGTCGAGTGATTTGAGCCATCTAAGCAAAGTGATCTGACGATGGTCACCGGGCTCATCGAGATGTGCAGGAGTGCTAAGCTCCTTCATGATGATTTCGATGCTGCGGAGGTAGCAGGAAACGACCTTAGGGGGATATTCAATCTTCTTGTACGCATCTTGTAGTCTCTTCCATAGGAAAAGCCTCAAGGTAGCATCTCCGCGATCTAGAAAGGATGCCATCTCAAGGAGCTGAGAAGTTGGCTGTTCAGATACTTCTCCGTCGAGACCTTCGCCGAATTGGACAGAGGAAGGTTCGAGGATAGGCTCAATAGTCTCGATCAGACCAACAGGGTCATCCGACGTCGGGTTAAATATTTTCATGAAGAAATCCATCGACTTCAGCTTGGAGATCTCCTGATCAACTGCCTCGGTCGACAGCTCGGGCATCACCGCATTGTTCACCAGGCTTATGGCTGGGTTTTTGAGTGATACCAAGAATAACTTCAGCTCCTGGAGGCAAAGTAGGACGTGCTCCCTCTGAATATCTCCAGCCATGTTTGAATGGAACGTCGATGCCCAGATATGACGGAGTACCATTCTTTCCCGAGTGGGGCTAGGAGAGCTGTGATCCAGGAAGTGGGTGAGCGATGTCCGCGCGAGCAAGCACCATCTTGCTAAGCGATCACGCTGCAGTAGCCTTGTTTGACCATCAATTTCACTGTTTGGATTGTTGATAGACGCATAGATGTCGAGGTGAAGCTCGAAGAGGGTTTGAAGCATCTCCAAGTCCGACAAATATTGTGTGCTGTATGCAAGTCTTCCAGATCCATTGGACAGGACGTTGTTCTCAAGGTTGTCGATCTGTTCGCGCATATGTCTATAGATGTACTCGTCTTCATGCAGCAGGAGTTGCACGACTGCTTCCTTCAGAGGATCCGGCCATTGATACAGGGTATACGCGGACTCCACGACAGGCCCGTCTTGTTGTAGTATGTCATCCGTCGCATATCTCGCAAAGTCGGGCATTAGTAGCGCTTTGAGCCAGCAAAGGGCGACATCGTGCAAGGGAAGCCATCCGTCATTAACTGTCCTTAGGAACGTGTAGAGTGCGTCTTCTCCGGAGAGGACTTGTTTGACGCCTAATTTCCTGGTCGACTTTCTTGAATGCTCAAGGAAAATCGCAATACCAGATTTTCCCATACCCCGGATGTCTTGAAGCGTGGAAAGATTATCTGGCTGGTGCATAGCATGGGACTTGGCTTCATCCCAGGACTTGATGAGGTCCATCAAATCACGGACGAGTAAGTGTCCTGCGCCCTCAGGAGCGCAAGTCACGGCAGTTGCAGAATCATTGCTCTCATTGGTAGAGCAAACTTGTTTTCTCAGATCGTCAATGCTTCCAAGGTCTGTTACGTCAAGATTGGATAGCAAAGTACCCACAGTACCGAATAACCATTCGTCAGCTTGGGTAAAACTCTCAAGACGATCCTCGTAGTATTTATTCAAGTCGAGATTGACCTCTTCACTCTGGAATGAGACATCCTCAGTAGCTTCACGAAGGCGGGTCCTCCTGGCTTTTGCCCGTATACGGTCTGCCTGGTCTTCCGTAACAGCAGAGGCAGATGATCTTTTCCGGCCATTTGAGGGTTTTACATCAACCTCATCGGCATTTGTAATCTCATGCTGACCTCCAGGATTACCGGGCTGAGTCGACTGAATCTCTAGCGACTCCATGAGCTGTTTCTCTGCGCGCTGATCGATGGATGAATGGTCATCGACTTGCTCTGGCACAACATCGGGCCCTTCGGACTTCATAGTGGGTTGATGCTCCTCCGACATGACGACGTCCTGCTGCTGGTTAGATTTCCCATCCGCGGCCTGAGCATCTGAGGCTCGGCGTTGAGACCCTACGGCCTTTGTTTCGGGACTGAGAGTAGGCAGCGATATGTCAACTGAAGCCCCAGGTCCGATCTCTGACGCGCCAACTTCTTCATCAGTGAGGCTTTGAAGTATCGACTTGCCAACATCGGCCCATGTAGGGCTAGCTGGTTTGATCTCATGACGAGAAGCCTTTAATGCAAGAGGGTTCGTCGACGGATCTGTGTCCTGCAGATCTAACGGAAGAGGGGGAAGGTAGGGATACGGGTCTGCCTGGCGCTGTAGGAATTTGAGAAGGGCCTTTTTCGGCTTTTTCAAGGGTACTTGAGCCACAGACAACCTATCAAGCAGCGACCGCAGCACTTCACGCAGGCGCTCCTCGGCAAATGTTTCTTCCAACCCTAGCTGCTCTGTCCGAACCTCTAAGCGGTTGTCATCGTCTGCTAGTACACTTTCAAGGCAGTATCGTGTTAGTCTATAGCTTTGCAGAGCGCTACAAAGTCTTGCGCTCTGTCTCCAGAGGTTCAGATCCGAGTCGTCACGTTCCAGGGCTTCTGCAAACGCCGTCAAAGCTGTGCTAGTTTTCTCTTTGACCTTGCTTCGGGGATCCCCAGAAAGCTTAGAAGATTCGGTGATACCCTGCAGAGATGCGTGTAACGCATCCAGGATATACTGTCCGTGGTTCTTGTACGATAGGTATATGGTTTGCATCAGCGTGCTCGACGTAGAGTCACTGATGTCGAACTCCGCGAGTGCTTCTGTCGCACCCGCCACCACCGTGTCATCATACTGAGGTTCAGATTCCTGAGTGGCTACTCTTTTATAATCAGAGATTGACTCGGGATATTTGAATATCTCAGAATCCAGCAGAGCATCATATGCCTCTTCGGCCTGCGCATAGAACTGTGGACCCTGGGAATGGAGCTTCAAGGCATTTTGGTACAGCTTAAGCGCCTCCTCAATTTGGATCTCCTTGGTGTCATCGACTTCTTCCTCAATAGCCTCATCAGGTTCAATATTCAAAGCTGCCCAGCTGGACATAATGCCGGGTTTAATGGCAGGGCGCAACGAGCTCCCTGATAGTGGTAGTAAAACCGGGCCGGCTATACCACATTTCAAAAAGGAAAGACAAGCAACCCCGGGCTACCTGAGGGAAGGCCCAACCTGGGGAGGTGGTAATGACGTGGAGTGGAGATTGGGAAGATGAATGGAAGGAACGGAGAGTCTAGAATTGGAGACTCGATAAATGGAACTGGAGAAAGAGCCCGTGACAGACACGCGTTGCGCGGGCGGGAATTACCGAAAGAGGCAAAGGCGGTACCGGGGTACCTGACCCAGCAGTTGCCTGAGGAAGCGGCCAGGCATTCATCGATCGTCGCCATTCCGTTTGGTCTTGAACAACGACCTGCGCTTTCTGCTGCGCCTCATTGTCTTCAATTTCTCCCGGTCGTGAAAGCGCTTCGTGCTCCCTATACCCCTTGGTTTCCCCCCCTGTGACCATCCCAGAGCCTCTGTCTGCGCTCCTGCCAGCGCCATGGTCGCGCCAGCTGTTCCCGAGTATGTCTTCCCCTCGTTTACGTGTTCTATCACTCGCTATCAATCGGCCAAATAGGCCCACTATCATTGACCTGCGACTGACCCCTGAGTGTTTCCCCAGGATCTATGAGGAGGAGGAGAACATCTACGCCGCTGTCGATGCCCGTTCCGAGTCCCTACAGAACCTCCGGGAATTAGGTCCCCCGGACTTGGTTTATCTGGTTAAACAGCCCAAGACCAACGCCCATCACCAGGTACGTCGTCGGAAGTGCGAGCGCAGGCACACTTGAGGATGGGGAATGACAATGGCTAACTCAATTGGTTTGGGATCGAAATACAGACCGGCGTTTATCACCATGTCACCGGTGTCGATGCCTCTTCCTCCGCCAGTTTAGCCGCCTATGTAAATACGCTTACTTTCTCTCCGCTCGACAAGACACACAAGGTGGTTTCGGGAATCTATTGGTTAGAAACATCTTCGTCTGGAAGTGTTTATAGTTGCGCAAATGTTAATAGACAAACAGCTGCTACAATGCCTTCTCCCACCTGGACATGCGCGTCGAAGTCAAAATCCCCGGCACTCTGGAAAGCTACTGCATCGATGAACGCGGAGACAAGCGAGTTGCGACGGAAGCCCTTTGGCTGGAGACCTTTCTTTGCGGAATCCTGCGAGCCTACTCATACGCGGACAATGGTGGTGGCGATGCGATCAGAAAAATAGTCGGGGTGCGTCGGTTCAACCCGGTCACAAATACGGAGATGGAGCACAAATTCCTGGATGCTGCGGAGAGACTCTTCTTCTTGGGTGCGCTTCCACAGTTGATCCCCAACAGACCCCAATGCTGATACCATATACAGGAAGACAGCTCAGTTCTGATCCGGAAACACAAGTGCCGAATACCGTCAGCAACCACCTGACGTCCGGTCTTCTGAAGTACATTCAAACAACGGGGCGCTACACTTCCGGCATCAACCTTTTCGAGAAACTTCGCACACGAGATGTAGAGGTTTCGTCACTTCTTGCCCGAGTTCTCATCATGGCAGACGAAGAGGTGCAAGCCGTGCGATTGATGTTCGATGCCTTACAAGACGTCCCCATGGATTATGCCTTGCTTGACTGCCAGGCTAATTTCTGTCAGGGCAAGAACGAGGGTGAGATGGCTCTAGAGTGTGCGAAGCGGGCAGTGACTGCTGCTCCAAGCGAGTTCAGCACCTGGGCACGATTGGCAGAGGTCTACGTTGGCCTCGAGCAATGGGATCTGGCCCTCCTGACCTTGAACTCCTGCCCCATGTTCACATACCAGGATAAGGACACACCTCGTATGCCCCAACCATCTCGCATCATGCTCCCAATTCTTGCCGAGAGCATGCTGGACGAAATCGACGAAGGACAGCCCAAGCAGGGTGATCCCCACGATTACGTCCACCCCTCACTACGCAGACTCCACGCCGCTGCCTATCAGGGAACCTTCCTGAAGGCGTACAATCTCCTCACCAAGATTGCTGCCGCGATAGGCTGGGACCAACTCCTGAAAATCCGCAGCGAAGTCTTTGTCATGGAAGAAGAATACCGTGTTGAGCGCCAGCAGTCTACGTCTAAGCCTACAACCACACCATCCTCAGCAAGCGTATCAGATGAGCCGAATGGAAGCAGCGAGCAGGAGAACGGCACGTCTGATGAGGGCGCGAACGGTACCAAGGAAGAAGAAACAGAGCACTCTATAGAGAAACCAGAGCAGTCGATGGCATCGGAAGTTGTCAAATCCGGCAGCGAAGATGTAAGTCTACATCCCACCTTCAATAAAACCATCCAAGTCCATACTAACGCGTCGTGTTACTAGCCTGACCCCTCACACTCATCCTACACACAATTCCGCAACAAGCGTCTGTGTGAAAGATGGCTCGATAACCTCTTCATGGTGCTGTACGAAGACCTCCGCATCTACACCATCTGGCGCACCGAAATGGCCCAATACCGCCAACAGGCGATCGAGTACAAGAAATCCGCCACGGAATGGGAAATTCTCGGCGAGTTGGCCGAACGCCTGCACCATTTCGACGAGGGCATCGAAGCCTATCAGCACTGTCTGGCCATCCGCTTCTCCCCGAAAGCCATGCGGGGGCTCCTCAAGTTGTACGAGAAGAAGAATGACACGAGAGGAATGCTAGGCGCCTTGATCCGTCTTATCGCTTGGCAGTATCGCTGGTACTCCGAGGTATGTGCCCCATTCCACTTGTTCTCAACGATAAAGATGAAATTAACAATACACTCTTCTCTAATGTAGTTCTCTCCCGACCTCCTATTCCTGATCCGCAAACTCATCGAAGATGAAGGCGCCGTCAAAGTCCGGAGTATAGTCCAAGCGACGAACCTTCCTCAACCTGTCCTCGATCTGACCCATCAGTACTGCCAACTGTGCGCCACATTCCGCAGCAGCGGTAGTGATGGTTAAATCTTCCACCTAGGATAGATTACGCTACCTTACCTTTACAAAGAAGGTAGTGTATAATCACCCTGTCTTCCATCCTTTGCTTCTTCCTACCACTCCTTCTGGTTTATGATATAGAAGACACCTAAGAAATGAGGAAAGAGGCGAAGAGGACAGACGGTCGAAATGAAGAACGAGAGGAAATTGTATCTATTAGAGAGTGGGGGTGAAAGTCAAGGGATATGAAAGCGTTGAGGGGAAAAGAGAACTTACTTTCTTTCCTACTACTACTACTTACTACTTACATTCTGTATGGACTTGTTGATCGATATCACCTATTGTTCGATGTGATGCGCTTTCTACTTATTTCATTTTCCTTCGTGTGATTTTATTTAATTCTATATTTATTCTTTGACTTTATTCTGTCTTTATGATTTGGTTTTCCATCCTATTAATACCCAGATTACAGTTGAAATTGAGGATGTGGTTGAACTGCGAACAAGAGGCTGTGCTCCGTCTGATAGGTTGATTCGGTTGCCCTAGTAGCTATCTGTCCAGATGGATAAATAGTAGTATTAGTATCTAGCTGGAAGTCCCGGCTAAGCCGCCGTGCGGAGTAGCCATCATGCGCTTCTCCAAAGATAGTTCCGACTCCTCCGTACCTCCCATCTCTACTTTGCTTAGGCTGTGGTTACAGCTACATAAAGGTAATAACAATGGCTGTCTTCAGGATATAGGAGCATGTGCATTAGATACTATATCCGCGCAAATGATCATAAAATTATCAATAAAATATTGCCAGCGCGACAGCAGTCGATACTGGCGGGTCATTATCACGCCCTGCTGGAAGGTCTTCACTCCTCTGCAGCAGCATCGGCTTCGGCTTCCTTAGGTACATCGCCAGCCTTAGCCTTGCTAGCAGCGGCGGCAGGGGCACTGGTCTTTGCTGTCTCTTCAGGAGCTTCCTCGGCGTCTTCCTCGCCTTCCGGTGCTTCCTCCTCTTCCTCATCAACGCCGTTCTCATCTTCACCGTTTTCAGCTTCGCCATTTTCCTTGCCCTCTTCTTCTTCTTCCTCTTGTTCGGGCACCGGAGCTGTCTTTCGCTTCTTGGAAGCCGGAGGAGCTGCTAGGAGGAGAATACTCGTTAGTAAGAAATACGTAGCATGATTGGAGACCAGAAGAGCGAGCTCACCTTGTTCCTCTGGTTCCTCTTCGCCCTCCTCTTCTTCTTCAAGCTCCTCTTCTTCGCTTCCCTCTTCCTCTCCTTCCTCGCTCTCGGCTACTTCGGAGTCCTCATATCTGTAGTAGTATCACATCAGCCATTGTATCGATTAAATGTAAAGGTAAATGGTGAATGAGGTTCAGCTGGTTGGTGCAGGCAAGCAGAGGATAGCGCGACTGAATGCCACCAATAAGCACCAATGAGTGATGCGCGCAGAGAGGGCACCCAAGAGTGAAATGACAGCAAAGCAGATAGCTGAACCAGCAGAGGGTGATGAAAAGAATGCGCCCAGGTTCGCGAACAACCTGGCAACAGGCAATGCAGTAAGCGACTTACTCTTCTTCTTCCTCGCTCTCGTCGCTAGGGAGCGCTTGGAGCTCTTCCTCTTCCTCAGCCTCTTGCTTTCTCTTACGGGTGGACATAGCTCAGAGCGCGTTAGGCGCTTAGGGATAGAGAGAGATTAAGAGTGTGTATTAAGAAATAAAGGAGTAGGCCAGGTCAATGGCGCAAGTAAACAGATGTCAAGAAAGTCCCAGGCCAGGAAGGCGCAATGCAGGGACAGTAAGAGTAAAGCGAAAGGGGAATGAACGGGCTAGTGAGAGGGGAAGAAACGGGAGAAGGATGAGGGAGAGAGGAGAGAGAGAAGAGGGAAAGAGAGGGAGGGAGGGAGGAGGGAGAATTAAAGGGCAGGGCAGGGCAGGGCAAGGCAGGCAGGAGGAACTCGGTAGTGGACGAGCAGCAGAGCAGCAGTAGCCTTTTCCCCCAGCACATGAGGGAAGGGGGGAGGGACGGAATGGGTGAGCATTACTTCAGCGACGGAGAGAGTCAGCAGTAACCCTCCCTCCTCCCCAAGCATGGATGGGCACTGCCTGGCGCAAAGAAAAAGCGCGCAGTGGCAGTCAAGAGGGTTGGAGCTAGACAGAAGAAGAAACGAGAGCTGGAGTTGCGCCGCCCGCACGCTGCCCACCCCCCAAAAGTGGTTGTCGCGGCTGGCCGTCGACATAAGCCACCACAGGCCGTGGGGTTTAGAGTCGCCCGAGGGTGGACAAGAGGGGGCGGGTGCGTGTACCACCCACACAACTTCGCGTTGATGATGCTCGGTTTCCCCTCAGCTCACCATGGATTGAAACAGCCCCGGGTGAGGATGATCCGTTGGGTCTGAGGCGGAGTTGATCCATCCATGACGATGACTCTTGCTATCTTAGTGATGATCCGGACCGTGTTGCATGACAAGACAGAGAGAGTGTGTGTGGATGGATCGGAGAATCCACACTGGAGAAAAAGGCCGAGATGGAGAGAAACGGATGGATGGGTGAGAAAAGACAAAGATCCGAAAAGGAAGAGAAGAGAAGTGAGCACAAGGTATGGTAAGTAAAGTAGAGGTTACATGAGAAATACCGTGCCTGGCGAGATACAAGCACAAGCAAGCAGGATGGGGAAAGAACGCGCACAGACACTCCGGGGCAAAAGGGGGGGGTGTTTCTGGTGTTTCTGGTGTTTGTGACAGGTACAAAGATACCCTAAGGGAGTGTGCTCATAAACCATCTGTGGCCGTGGCAGCAAGAAGTAAAGTACGGGCCCGGACACCAGAAGCAGCAATAATCATGATGTCAGGATTGAAATCCTGCGCGTATCGATACCCCCATACATAAATATCTGTTTCAAAACATGCTTGCAATCTTACCAGTTACTCCGTACTTCATGCAAGCAGGCTAAACGCAATGCGGAAGTTCTTCTGGAAAAGCACAGACCAAGATTGATTGATTCCCCACAGCGGCACTGATGCTTCCCCAATCCATCATTCCATCTCAAACCTGCAATCTTACATGCGACATGCAAATTACCCGATGTCCAGCCCCCAGTCACCACTTACTGCAACTACTGCAACATCATATGCAAAACAGACGTACATTCGCAGCCTGACTACTAGCACCACTACCTGCCGTACAACAGAACCATCACGTAAACCACTAACTACTGCTTCATCGGCGGCCACACATAATCCCCCCAAGGCCTCCCCGCCTCCCTCCTCGCCAAATCCCTCAGCGTCTCCCACTTCCACAACCTCTCCCCGGGATTAACCAACTCACGATCATCCCCCAACCCACCCCCATCCCTAGCAGTATGCATAATCTTGCCCTCACCCATCAAAAACCTCAAAAACGGCGCCGGATCCCACGACTCCTTCATCCCCTCCAACACCTCCCTCTTATACCCCTCCAACCCAATCTCCACCACCTCAATCTCACCACCACCAAACTCCCCCATAACCTCCGCAATCTCCTTAATACTCTTACTATCCCCAGCAACATGCACCGCCTCAGGCACCTCATCCCTCCCCAAACTCGCCAACGCAGCCACACACCTCCCCACATCCCCGAGTGAAGTAAACGACACTTTCACCTCACTACTCCCAACACACTCATACCGTCCGCGCTTCGTATCGAACCCAAACCACGGACCAATACTATCCTCCAGGAACAACCCACAGAAGACACGACAGATCTTCACCTTCTTCGGGCCTTGGGTAAGTAGTAGTAGCTGCTCGGCCAGCGCCATGTGTTTCTTCTTCGCGTCCCATTCTCGATGCGGGAAGTCGTGCACGTAGTGATTCACCCCGAATTCGGAGGGGAAGTACACCTGGATGGAGGTTTGGGGGATGGCGTGGAGGAGTTTCTCTTTGAAGGAGTGGCCGGAGGGGCCGATGGTGTTGATGAGGATGGTAGCGCCCTGGAGGGCGCGGGTGATGCTGGGGATGGAATCTTCCGTGTAGGTGCGGATGGTGAATTTGGGGCTGTCAGAGGGGAGGTCGGTTGGTGGTGTAGTATTGTGGTGGCTACCTTGTCGCGAGAGGAGGATGATTTCGGAGAAGCGGTTGCGTAGGTTGGATGTGAGGAACGCTGAGGCGACGTGTTTGCCTAGGTGGCCGGTTGCGCCGGCGATGGCTACGATTGGGAGGGTGGTGGTGGGTTGGGGAGATGCCATTTTGTATACTGTAGGAATGAGTAGTGTTGTTGGGTTGGGAGATGGATTGGAAGTATGAAGGCTAGAGCGGGATGCTCTGCTTTATGCTTTATACTTCATCTATGGTAGACCAAGAAATTTGTAGGACTGGGTACTGAATGTTTGCATTCCTTCTCATCTTTCCTCAATCGGACATATACATGCATCAGATGGATGAATATCGCGCTCAATGGGGTGTAGAACGAGCTGCAACACCATCGCTCTACGTCACTGGCAAACAGGACAAACTGAAATCACATGCGATTATTGGTGGACTGTGATCAGGAGGAGCTGTTTGTATTCATTGCAAACTAGTCAAACATTTGCTTTGTACAGTACTAAACATAGAGGTGTGCTCTCAATCTATTACCTGGATCTGTTTACCTGTCCCATGTGAAAAGGGGAAGTTCTTGCATTGATTGTGTATATTTATCTATGTTTATGCATCCCCAGAGATCTATCGAGTAGATGACACAGTCAATATCATTGTAGAGATATAGAGGACGTGTACTCCGTTCGTCTACAAATCCGGCTCACTTTAACAGAGACTTTTGTGTCGAACCCTTCAAAAAGAGGAGATTATTTCATTACTGGATATAATCTAATTACCAAACATACTATGCTTAAAATTCCACAACCCATAGTCCCACGCTCATTCCTCATATATGCTACTACTGACATCTTCAACAGTCGCACTCCTAGAAACTACATAAGGTTAGTAATGATCCTGCAGATTAAATCAAAACATTTACTCACTTGGTCCGAATCGCTGAGTCCTATGAACAAGCGATGTCAAATGGCCCTGCTCATCATCCATCCAACCATCATCTTCTGATCTAGCTGTGTCGAAGCTGCTGTCGGTGGTATACTCGTCATCATCACCATCGCTTTCCCCAGATCCCGTGTACGTGCGCCCTGGTCGTTGCAGAGGGGATAGTGACTTGGATTGCCCATGTTCTTCGTCACTCAAACTCTCAAATGGATCGGGGGGTCGGGTATCCTGATTCGGTGTAGGAACATCTGTAATACTGCGTTGTCGTGTTTCAGGCTCGTGAGGCTTTCCAGTCCTTGAGGGCGCAAGGTAGACCTTATCCAGGCCGAGCGCCTCCAGCCGATCTTTTATGTACTGCGGGAGGTAGGTAGAGAAGCCCTCCTTAGTGTCTTGGAAAGCTTCTTCCGAACGCGATAGATCTTCGGCAAGGCGTTGTGCGACAGCCCGTTCGATGACGATTGCACACCAGTCACTCAGAGAATAGATAGATTTCGAGGATCGTTTTGATTCCCGTATTTTCCTCAGGCCATCCAAAAGAAGTTTACACTCTTCTTCAGAATCTGCAAGAAGAAACCACGACAGAAACGTGTGCTGATAGCTGAGATGATCCCCCTGGGTGGACTTCTGGAGATCGGATAGCCGAGTTAACCTTTCGCTCGTGTTTACCGAGCGATAAATGAGCTCACCCAGGCATAAAACCTCAGTTCTGTAGTCATGCAGGTCCTGTGCTGTCTGAAGAACGGTTTCAAGAAGATCATAGTTCCGTCCCGCATCTAGGTGTGCCGTCCACTTTGGGTTCTCCGTCTTGATTGGAAGATAAATGGGAATACAATTCCTCCATATTGTCAGGCCTGGATATTTGTCAAGGTGGTCTCGCAGATCTGAGGTATTGAGTAGAAGCTTCCGCTCCAGTTCCGCTTCAGCAATAACCCACTGTAGGTATGGACGAGATTTTACCAGCTGCGGGTTGTTCTCTTTGAGGCATGTTGCAAAGGCTTGCGCATATTGGAGGCATCGTTGAGCAGTGAGCAGGTCCTGTCTTTCTGGTATCGAAATAGACCATGAAGACAAACTGCGACTCAGAGATACTAGAATATCCAGAATGGCAAGATATGTTGACTCATCATACCGATGCAAACACCAGTCATCCATCAGCTTGCGGAACGGCTCATTGGAAGAACCAAGTTCTGCTCCGAATATCAGGTTCCAAGCATTTGCTGCACCTTCCGCTTGGATAGAAGCGAGCATCAGGTCTCGCACATCCCATATTCGCCCCTCAGTCACAAGGACGCTGTACAAATAGTGCCAATTAGACCAAAAATTGAATTCATGTTCTGGGATCAGATCGGTTTCTCGCTCAACTTGCGATAGAATCAAGAGAGCATAACGGATAACTTGCACCTGCCTATTTTCTTAGTATTGCTCTTCTCCCGGGAACTCTTTTGAGACACTCTTACTTCAGCCGAGTCCAGGTCAAGATTCGGGTCTTTCCTCCTTCGTCGCCTTAAGGAACGCATTTGGCGCTCCAAGGATCGGACCGTTCCATATGCCTCGTCCAGAAATCCGTGGGACTGTATGAACGCGAAATCCCGTAAGAGGTGCAAGTTTGCTTGGTACAGAAATTTTGCTGGGCTAACTTCCTGCAGGCTTGAGATGCCGTCAGAGGTACTTAGCTCCTGCTGTTGGTGCTGCAACAGAACGCGATGTAAACGCCTATATGAACCCTGTTCGACTAGCATGTCTGCGAACTCAATCATAACTGGCGATAATTCCATAAAAGCACATAAAGAATCTTGGAAGTATTGTTCCGCCTCCTGGAAATGACCTAGTCTTTTTAGTCGTGAGAACTCTTCTAATAGAATTCCTACGTCCTCAACAATTTCCATCTCATAATGTATGGTCGTATCTTTTGTTGATGAAGGAGTCCAGATGGACGACGTAGGATTTTGTGGTCCATCCTGTACTACCGGTAGTACCCTAGGGGAGGCATCTGGTGAAGGAACGCCATTATCGTAGTTATGGGCTGCAGCATTGCGAACGACAATTGCTTCTCCAGAGTGTATGGGCTCCGCACGGAAGAGATGAGCATTCCTGTCGGGAACAGCAAGGGTACCGTGCGCACTTCCATGAACCGCTCGTTCATCCCAGGAAAAGCGGTTGAAGATGTCTTTTCGATCTTCTGATCGTCTTCCTCTACCAAAGGAGGGCCTTTCCCGAATATCGTTCATTTTGAAAGAGTGCTTGTTGACGAAGTAATAGCGCGGCAACAGCAAATCTGCAGGAGGCCCACGAGGAATAGATATCAGTTCGTATTTGAGGAGCTAATTCAGCCTCGTCTGGAGTGTCTGCATTAGCGCCTCCCTCTGAGTGGTTTGTCCGGTGGCAGTGCTAGGCGGCACCCAACAACCCGCTACTAACTGGCTGTAAGCTCCCTTACTATTTAATCGATGTTGACGGTCGCGGGGGTTGGGGATTTGGCATTTTGCTCTCATCACCCAAATTATGTCGGGGACCACCCAAACTTCATCATCCACCACCGGTCGGGGTTCGCGGCCGACTTACGCGCGGCGATATGGTCGAAAGTATCTCGAGCTGGACAATCTTCAGGACTCCAGCGTGTGCCACCGCAAAGTCGGCAAAGCACGCGCTGACTGCCGACTTCGGACGTCCCAGTCGAAATGGGGATGCTTGGGCGAGGCATCGAGACCTGCGGGCATTGTTTACATGGATCTCTCGTTCGATCAGCCTGCAGACTGTAGGCTACTGAGTGCCACGGTCAAAATCACTTTGCAAGGCGCCCCCCAGCACCAGCTAGATCTGGATAAGCCTGTACGTCTCCATCTGACCGATCACTACGGGCCCAAATATCTCGGCGGAGAGCCAAAGAATGTGGTCAAGAAAAAGATCCTGCATCTTGCGCCTCAAGTCAATGTACTTGGAAACGGCGGCGGTGGTATCGGTATCGATAGCGAGAAGTCGATTACTTATGATAGCCGGTGGACATTCACAGGTAACCTGCGCCCTGCGCAAAAAACCGATTCAGAATATCGCACCATAAAGTGGGAGTTACGCGAGGAGGACCCTGAGTCTCAATCAATCCATAGCAATATGATCCACACTGCCTTTGCTTTCCAGCATGAGGGGAGGCCCTTCCTCATGCGGGTTCAGATCAAAGGAAAACTACAGAAGGGCAGGAACCGCTTCAAAGAAAAGGCTCGTCAGTTGAGATTCCCATCCCGTCATGAAAGTGACGAGGGATCCAGTGATATTCTGGTGTATCCAAATGTTGTGACGCAGCCTTCAGGCCCTCGTCTAGATCGTCTTGTACAGGATCTTCCCATGGTTATGGAAAGAGAGAATTGCCTTCGCATTCCGGTGCAGATTCCTGCCGCATTGCCGATATCGTTCGCAGAGAGTAATGAGAACATCCCCGACACTGCACAGAGCATGCTTGAAGACTCATATTTAGGGAGTCTACCGGGCCTTTTGCCCAATCCAGGGGGTTCCGGGCACCATACCGAGACAGCGCGGTCATCCGGCTCCAACTCGGTTTCTTCCTCGGAAACATTGGTAGACTTTAGGAAATCCTGCGACGCAGGTGATCCAGGAGATGTGTGCATTTCAAAGCTTGGACATGCTGTGCACGCCTTTCGAACACCACAAGCTGTTGGCCAAGACGAGTCACAGGCATCCAGAATTGTACTGCACGCAAACTCCAGTTCGATGGCTCCAGCGAAACTGATCGTACCAGCTGAACAGAGGAATGGTGACAAAGAGAGCAAAAATATCAACAGCCCTGAATATACGCTGATTCTTCTATTGCGCTATCCGTTATTGATGACCTTAATCCAGATCCTGGCTGCCCTCCTGGATTTCTTTGGGATGGCAACGAAGTCCATACAGTTGGCGAATCGGGATGCCAACAAGAAGCTCAGCGAGAAGGTTATGGTATATAGCAGTTGAAGAGGTACATTTTGAAGACTGTATAACATTCGATGACAAAAGAGGTGGCGGTGACTTGACAACAACTTCTCTCTAAAAGCCCGTAGAACATGTAGAGAAGCGCGGGTGGTGACCAAGGCTAGTGATCAGTATCTTCTAGGTCTGATTCGATTCAGGCATGCATGTCAGCGCTAAGGATACTGTCGTGTCATTCCCACTACCCAAGCAACCTCTGATTGGCACAGTTGCGCAAGGCTGGGGACTAGCAATCTGCTATAGGCCAATTCTGCAGTACAGCCACTCTGCCCCCAATAGTTCCAGCAAGGCTAGGCAAAAGGCCCGTGCAAGTGCCGGCTGCTTGTCTGTGCCGCGCTGGGCGCCAAATCGCCCGCCTGGGGGTATTTTGCTCTCGAGTTCCCAGCAAAGCAGCAACTCTGTAGGTTATGAACAACTGCCGTACAGCTCGCATCGACATGAGTTCTGCATCCGAGGGGAGTACGGTTTATGTCAAGGGCAAAGGTGATCGGGTCGTCGGGACGATTCCCATAGCGAGAAGGGGGCAACCCAAGGACAGAAAGCCTGTCCAAGATGGTCGACAAAACCCCGCTGTAGGAGCCATTCCGTCTCTCCCGCCTTATGAACCTTCCCCAGAACCACGATCGGCTCGAAGGCGCCGGTCTTATGAAAGGCTGCGTCCAGAAGTCAGGGTGTCCTCACATACAGAATCAGATTCTGATCTCCCATATCGTCATCAACGGCCCCGAGCAACACGCACCATCCATCGCGACCTATCATTACCTCATCGACGTCCGGGGGTTACCGTAGTCAACGAGCGTGCACTGCACGCACTTGACACACAGCTGGACCGTGAAATCCGCAGACAGCAAAGAGACATAGACCGGCTGGAGGAAGACTTGCATCTTCATAAACTCAAACTGGACATAGAGAGTGAACGAGAGTTCGAAAACGAGATTTCGGAGCGATTAAAGAGACTGCATGAGTATGAAAGGGGAGAGGTACGAAGAGACCTGAAGAGAGCCGAAAGACGAGCCGAGGAGCAATTCAAGAGGAAAGAAGAAATCAAAGCTGCGTTACGCGAAAAGGAATGGAAAGAGATGAAGAAGAAGAAAGAAGAGGAAGGACTGCGGGCCCGGATTAGGAAAGAGCTGCACGACGAAGAGATTCGACGGAAACTCGAAGAACGCGAACGTTTCATTCACGAGAACAAGATTCGGCGCGCTGCTATTGAAGACTATAAGTTGGCGGAAGAGCAGCGCCTTCTTGAGGAAGAAAGACAGAAGAGGCAGCTGAAAAGGGAGTATAGAGCAGCCATTGAAGCGGAGCTTGGGTATTCCCTCGAGCAGGTGAAAGATATTCTCACCAAGGCGACAGGCAAGAAAGCCCAGAGACAGAGTCGGGGGCGTAGCCAAGCATTTTCTGCAACTGTTAATGATGTCCTTAGTGGAGACGAGGCAGATGTGGAAGCACCTTGACTTGGCTGGATGGTGGCCTCTTATAGCCCTCTATCTATATCGAGCAATCCAGATTACGATGTACTGTGACCTCAATAGTCTAACTCTTACAGCCCATAATATCAGGGCATGGCTCATTGTGCTAAGAATTCGAAACTAGCCATGCTAGGATCTAGGAGGTTTTCATCCAATCCAAACCCGTATGTACCAACCATATCATAGATCAAATCCGGTGGGGGAAACCCCTGGGCCATGGCATTGGCACCCCCAGGAACATCACTACTACATGCTCGCTCAGCACCCCCAGATGCTACAACAGGTGCCCCTCCTGCTTGCCATGCGTCCCAAGAGTCGAAGCGCTCCAACATCTTACCAAGGCCCCGGGCAATATGTCTCGTCAGATGTCTCTCCCCTGCAGAGACACAGTTCAACAGCTCAATCACCCTCTCGACCAGACGTCGCACCTGGCGGCCGTCGAGACTGAGATACGCAGAGTTCCAGTTTATTGCAACTTTCAAGAGGAACACGGCGGAGAATGTGACCATCGTGTGGGTGAAAATCGGAACCCCAACAATGGCGTCGCGAATATCTGGCTCTTCCAATACCATATTCAAACACGCCATAGCAGACGAGATGGCAATATTAGCCGACTCTTTACGATCCATAGAAAAGACGGGGGTGTTAGTCGGAGACAAGGCTCGCAGCGAGAGTGAGTTGAGTTGAAATTTGGCAAAGTGGTAGTGAAGCACAACCCCTTTCGAGGGATATGTTCGGACATAAGGGCTATCGGCTGCAGGTCAAAGTCACGACAATTAGTCTTTCAAAATGATTTTTAATCCAAGCAGATCTTGTAAAGCACGTACCAGATCGGGGTTGCCACAATAGCCGCCATTGGTCTATAGCAACATTGTAGACGCGTAACTGCCCAAAGTCCTCTTCGGTAAGGGCTTGCTCTGTGTCGGTCCCGAATGTCCGATACGCTTCGGTCAGGATCATAAACAAGGCAACTTGTGCTAGTAGCCTAATATCTCCGGGTACTACCATTGGTGACTGGAGAAACGATTCGTAGTTCTTGATTGCTGCATCCTCATGGATGACTGGTGGACGCCCGTAGGCGATGCTGAAATGATGGTCACACACATACAGAAGATACCAGAGCTGAGCGCGCTCATACTGATCGTTGTGACCACGCATTAGCTTATGATAGCTTTGGTGAAGGCCCAATTCCGTCGCGATTCGAACAGCATGCCCAGAAAGTTTCCAACTTAGTTCGGATAACCAGAACGCTCCGACGCAGAGAGCGCGAATGTCATCGAGTGTATGTGCCCTTGTCAACGACATGCTCGACACAAGCGATACATACTCATTGTAGCAACGGTTGAGAGTCTCAGTTCGATTCGGTATATGGAGGGCAGCGACAGTTAGAACAGCTGCTGACAGTAACGTCGATGCTCGCCGAACAGACGTGAGATCACGATGCACCAAGACGATCCCTCCCCAGAGAAGCTGGTTCATAGTCCTGCTAAAGTAGGCAAATAGCTCTTCGGCTTCATGAAGTGAGATCAGCCCTCTGGAGATGAAGTCCTCCTCCAGAAGTGTCAGCTTCGGCTGTTCTATGGGGTTATTCCGCAGATTGCGGAGCTTCGTGACCTCGTATAAACTGCGCATTGGTGCTGGTACTAGCTCTCGGTCTTGTAAGTCTGGTTCTTGGGAAGGCTCTCGGGTCACATCCATAACAATACCCGGCTCTCGGGGTTTGACATCAGTGGGTGATGCCTCAGATGAGAAGCGACGTTCTGACTGAGAGCCGACAGGACTGGGGCCGTTGTGGCTGTCACCAGAGATGAAGGTCGATAGGTCTGGCAGACCTCCTTGTTGTAGAAGATGCGAGACTGCTGCCTGAAGCTGTTGTATCGTAGCCGATGCTTGTGATTTCCACCTGTACCCAGCGCAGAAGAGTCGGAATTAGCTCTTGTATTCCACAAATCCCCGAACGAAGCCCTAATTATAGCAGGAGACTCACATCACATCATCGTCGACGAACTTCTGGGAGAAGTCATTGACCACACATTTGATCCCGCTGCGAATGCATTTGGTGCAACTCGCCTCTCCTGATTTGAACTCGCAGCGTATTTTATGACGCTTACACTCTGCGCCTATATATCCCAAGCATCAGCTTCATACTTCTAATTACATCAAGCCCAAGCACACCTTGAAGCTAACTGCTTGGGCCTCGGTTGCAGTTCGGCCTTTTGAGTACTCACAAGCGCGGGCCTTGGAGATCTTGGGTGGCGCAGGGCGTCCGTCAGGAACGAGGGAGGGTCGACGTTCATGTGGCCGTGGGGCCTCCAAGTCGGCATCTTGCGAGGAGCGCTTCATTGTTGCTCGATCATGGACTAAGAACTGATCGGGGATGCTCCGGTATTCTGCAGCCAATATGGGATTGACAATAGTGGGGACGGACCAAGTCCAATAGATTAATGTCAAGCTAGCCAGATAGTGTTGCTTTGTCTGTTCGAACTAGTTGCGGCGGAACAATCAATATCCACTGAAGGGTCCAGAGGGAGGCAGGAAAGCAAGGGAAGAAAAAATTCAACGATGAGGGAGATGAAAGAGTGAGTGGGATGGAGACAGACAAATCTGGCGATGGCGGCATACCCCGCTTCAATTTGGCGCCATTGGGGATTTCCAAGACACGAGCATTTCTTCCCCATTGTCATTGTGAACCCGATCCATAAAGTATTAAATTTGCTCAATTCGACAGATAGGTACTCTCTATACTATTTGCACTTCTTAATATCTACAGACATACAGCAAATCCAACTAGACGAGCTGCAAACTACTTTCAAGTTTCACTGTTTTCTCTCCAGACCAGCAATGAGACACGGGATCTGGGGAATGCGGGGCACCGCCAGTCGGTATCCACGGCTCAATTACCCCCGACCGTCTCAGTCCCAGATGTCCCTGTTGCGCACAATGGCAGGCAGGATGGCGTGACCGAGAGAGATCTCAAGTGTCTGTCGTTCAAGGATGCTGATATCTTGTATTCCACAGAATGCATCAATTAATCTAATCTTATCCAGCTCCACTCACCACTTACCCCGCGCCCAACTTCTCGTGGCAAGTAACCGCAAGGCGCATCGAGGGATAACAATCAAAATAACCATTCTCTCAAATCTTATCTGAGTACAATCAAACATATCCCAGAAGAACCTGCAGGTCCTCCGAGAAGAGCAGAACAGTTACTGAGCAAAAACGTCATGGATTGGAATTTGCGCCGGGAAAAGTCCGGCTGCGGAGCACAAGCTATAATCCTACCCTCGGAGTTAATGCGAGGCGATCCCACAATGAGGACCGCTAGCTACTAGCTGAGCAATATGACTATTACTGATAGTGTCTACTTCATAGTGCCTATAACAAACAATCAATTCCCACACCTCTCTCTCTCTCTCTCTCTCTCTCTCTCTCCACAACCACTAATCCCCTCAATTGACCCTCCAAAATGCAAATTCTCATCACCGGAGCAGCCGGCTTCATCGGCCAACTCCTCGCAAAAGAGCTCCTCAACGATCCATCATACACCGTCACACTAACCGATATCAACGAGCCCCCAGTCCCCACAGGCGTCGCATACCCTCAAAATGCACGTTCAGTGACAGCAGACCTCCTGAAAGGCGCAGACGCAGTCGTGGACAAATCCCTCGACGCCGTCTACGCCTTCCACGGAATCATGTCATCCGGCTCAGAAGCCAATTTCGATCTAGGCATGAGCGTCAACGTAGACGCCACCCGTAACCTGCTTGAGGCTCTCCGCCGCACCTGTCCCGGCGTGCGAGTGATTTATTCCTCAAGTCAGGCTGTCTACGGCCAGCCACTCCCCGAAGTAGTGAACGACAGTGTCATCCCGACGCCGCAGTCGTCCTACGGCGCTGAGAAGATCATCTGTGAGACTCTCATCAATGAGTACACCCGTCGTGGCTTCATCACGGGCTTTACTCTTCGGTTCCCCACTATTTCTGTCCGGCCTGGTCGTCCGACGGCGGCTGCTTCGTCTTTTCTCTCTGGGATGATCCGCGAGCCGCTCGACGGCAAGGAGTGTGTCATTCCGCTGGAGGATAGGTCGTTCAAGTCTTGGTTATGCTCGCCTAAGACTCTGGTTCATAATCTTGTTCATACGTTATCGTTGCCCAAGGATGCGTTGCCTCCTCATATTCGACAGATTAATGTCCCTGGTATTTGTGTTACTATCCAGGATATGATGGATGCTTTGGAGAAGGTTGCAGGGAAGGATAAGCTCGATCTGTTGACGGAGAAGGAGGATCCGACCCTAAGGCCAATCTTGGAGTCTTGGCCTACTCGCTTCGATAACTCTCAGGCTATTTCTTTGGGTTTCAAGCGAGATTCTTCGTTTGAGCAAGCAGTAAGAGATTATCAATCGGAGATAGGACAGCAATGAACACTAGTGCTCCACATTCTGTACTTTGCCCACGATGTTGTCTTTATGGATGATTAGACGTATAGGTAGGATTCCATTTTCATACAATGATACCAGTACAAAAAATATTACTACATAACTCCCATTATGATCATAGCTTCACTTCCCCATATGCACAAATTCCTAAACCATCATACCATTTACCACCTCAACACAGCTCGATCTCACTATTTCCAAACCTGAAAAACACCTTAGCAAGCATCCAAACCAAGATCAATAACTTTCCCAAACCTGTCCATCAATAGCAACCAGTCGATTAAACAACTGATTGCGAGTCTTCATAGCCGTAAGCTGATACTTCTGCTCCGGCAACCTTCCCGTAAGCACCATTCCATCCACCACCTCCTTGCTCTCACCCACAGCCCAGCCCGTGACCAACTTCCCCTTCCACCCGAGTCCACCAATCTTCCTCATCTCCAGAATATCCGTCACAGGCATCGTGAACAGCACTGTGCCTTTCGGCCGATGTTCCAGACCAGGCTTATCCAACTGCACGGTCTGGTCCGTCGTGAAGTAAAGCAGCGGTGGCTTCTGGGACTGATCGAGGACCACGACGCCCCGCTTGCCTTTGTATCGCCCGTCGAATTGAATGGGGCCGGATGGGAGGGTGAGTTTGCCTTTGCTGCGGAGCACACCGACGCGGGGTTTGGCGTGCTTGGAGCCGGCGGCTGCGCGGGCTCGGTCAACGGCGAGCTTGCTCTGGATGCCGGTGGCGGTGGTGCCTCGGAAGAAGCCGATCATGCGGTTTATGAAGCCCTTCTTGTGGGGCTTGGGGTGTTCTTCGTGTTCTTCGATGACAGATTCGGGGGAGGGGGCGATTGCTTGGTTGATTTCTTCTTCTGAGGCGGAGATGTTGATATCCTTGTCGTTGAGGGGGGCCGGGTGGTATGGTGTTTGGTGAAGGGAGTGGGATGGTGGTGGTGGGAGGGGGGCACCGTTAGCTTCGCCGATTCGGAGAAGAGTTAAGGTGAGTTGTGCGTTGGTGGGGATTCCCTTCAGCAGGGAGCTAGTGGAGTGTTAGCACTACGTGGATCTTTGGTTGTTTGAAGAGACCGGGGTTGCGTACTTCTGGAGCTCGAGCAGTTTCTCCCATCGAGGGTACTCGCGGTTCAAGTACGCCACACCACGCCAGATAATCGGGTCGCCGAAGAAGGCGAATCCAGTACCGAAAGTAATCATTTTGACAAATACGTAGCTGGAGGTGATGAGTGATATCAGAAAGCCAACAGATAGCACCGCTGTTAGGCGAATGTAGGGAGTCACGATGGAGAATGGAGGCGTTGGTGACAAAGCACTATAGCAAGTCAGAATGTAAGTGTGTGGCTTCCGGTGCTGCGGTTTGTACATACTTGCCAAACCGTTCATAAGTGTCAGTTATGTCGCTCAGCACGCGCATTGCCATGTTAGCACCGTTGTAAACGGTATCTCTCATGGGTTGCCTAGTCTTATCATGAGCTTCGTCCGGGGCTTCCCCACGAGCAGCTGTCTGGGCATCTGCTGCGCTGGTAGCAAGCTTCATCACATCTGGAGCATTATCTTCCATTGGGGCATCATCAGGTGTCCCTTGATCATGCTTGCCGGCAACACTACCAACAGCAACACTAGCAACGCTTGTAAAGAGGTTGCTAGCCTCCTGTTCGGCAGCTTCACCCTTCATATTCTCGGGCGCCCCAGTGATACTATCATGGGAACCCAAGACGCCGGCTTTGGGCTTTTGCACGCCACCGGTATCCTTGTCCACTAGAGCTATAGGAGCAGGAGGAAACAAGTATGACCTGCTATCAGGACTAATAACTAGCACTATTAGAAGGGTGAAGATTGTCGGAGCAAGCAGATCCAAGGCCCACGCAGCAAAATAAACCTAAAATTCAACACCAGTCAATCGAGTCAGAGATGAAAGACGTCCAGTTATGACCTACAGCACAAAATGCCGCTGTCCGTTGGCGCTCCCTCCATGAGCGTAGCCTGGCAATATGATTGACGAATGAGGTTAACGAGACGATAATGGTTGTGTAGAATCGCTCAAGGGTAGCGCGCAGTTTATCAGGGGAGAATTGCTCATCTTCGGCCCGGTTGAGGTCCAGTCGTTGCAGGGGAGAATGCGGCACTGCTTTCACATAATAGATTTGCTGTGTTTGAATCAGTCTGTGGTCTAGTATTGAAGGGTGCAGGCGCCGTACCTTGTTGAAACGTCGAACAAGCATCCAAAGATCTTCGTTTGAGATTCCGGACACAATCTGCTCGTCAAGCTCGTCGGGGTGTTGATACCAGCCCACATCCGTGACAGTGTCTGTTTGTCCAGCCTTTTGAGCCAATCCTTTCTCATCTTGATCCACCTTAGAAAGAACATGACTGTCTGTTGGACCGCTAATCTCAGTGGTGACGCGATCAGCCGCGAAGATATCGTTGCCGCTGGTCTTCGAGCTATACGCGACAGGCTCTGCTGGTTTTGTAGGATCCCTCCGTGACATATTGCACAAGAACTTAGTATTAATGCATGTATAATAGAAGCAAATATGGGCTCAAAAAATGGGGAAAGGAGATGCGCTTTGAGGGTCTCTTGAAAGCCGGGGTAGGCAATACGTCATGGCTGTGTCGTCACGGACCGATCGTGCAAAAGCCTGGAATCTCAGGAGTGCGTCAGCATACGGTGCCTCGACCCAATCTTCGTAGCTCAGGGGCATTTTAGAGTAGCTTACTACCCGATCGATTGCTGTCCTCGAATTTTTTTTATTACCTCCTGGGGTAGGAGTTGTGCTATAGATAAATGGCGCCGATGCAACTGCATACTTGACAGCCCAGCCAATCAAAACCTAGTGTGGTAATTGCACCGCCACATATGTGGCTTATTGTGTGGCGCAAAGCAATTCTGCCTAAATAGGAAATACGCGTGAGGACAATCCGATGCCGCGTTCCAGACCAGTAGATTCGATCTCTGCCTCCCAGGCCTAGAACACCGCTTTAGTTTCTATACAGAAATTTCAGAATCGCTTGTGAGATTGATTGTCTGACACCTTTATTTCTGTCTCTTCCCGCATCATGTCAATGCGATTAAATTCATAACAATGAGTGAGACGTGTGCCAATCCCCTACTACTAGGGTGGATCAAAGAATGGCTAGACGAGGCTCGAGAGCGCAACAGCAAGGGTGCCATTGTGTCAGTGCTATCCCATAACCCGCTACAATAGTGGGGTTTGATGCTGAATGATGCACAGATATAAAAAAGCCTACGAGTCGATGAAAGCCTGTCCCTTGGTTTTTCAACACCCCTCCGAGGCTCAGCAGCTAAACGGACTTGGCCCAAAACTATGTGATCGCTTGACCGAAAAGCTAAAGGCTTACTGTGAAGAAAATGCGCTCCCGATGCCCGAGCATCCTCAAAAATGTAAGTCATGGTAGTACTGTCATCCTCGAGCAGGTCTAAGAATCGTAGCGGCAAGCAGCAAAAGAGCATCCGATGAGGGCACGGCAGAAAGCCAGCCAGCCAAGAAACCTCGAAAGGCGAGGCCTTATGTCCCGACTCTACGATCGGGCCCTTATGCGTTGATCCTGGCCCTGGCAACTCTCAATGAGAACTCTTCTCAAGGCTTAACCAAGGCACAACTGATTGACTTGGCACAGCCGAACTGCGATAGTTCGTTCACGGCACCTGCCGAGTCATCCAAGTTCCATACTGCCTGGAGCTCAATGAAGACGCTTTTGCAAAAGGAGATAGTATATGATTTTGGACGTCCTCTGAAAAAGTACGCACTCACAGAAGAGGGATGGGAAGTGGCGAAAAGGATGAAGAAGGTCGCCCTGCCGTCAAATCAAGGCACTTTGGCGTTTGGAAATCAATCGGTAACAAAGCCACTACCTAGTCTGCTACCACAATATCTGACGTGCGTAGGGGCCAGGTACAACCCATACAGGGGACTCCCAATTGCGGGACAGCCTGGGTGATAACAGCACAGAGGTAATCGACGAGGAGGCACCCACAGCCCATAACGAGACCCAAAGATGGGAACCCGCCCCAGACGGAACAGTAACCCCCATAACGATCCCCCCCGACAGCTTCACAGTCCAGCTGGTTCTGGACAACCGCGAAGTCCGCTCATCCAAAGACAGGGATTACATTACCAACGAACTACACAAAAAGGGAGCCAGTCCCGAAGTGCGCGCACTAGAACTAGGCGACGTCATGTGGGTAGCCAAATTCCACAACCCAATGTTCCTATCCCAATACGGCGAAGAAGGCGACGAAGTCATGCTTGACTGGATTGTTGAGCGCAAGAGAATCGACGATCTCATCAGCTCCATGAAAGACGGACGGTTCCACGAACAAAAGTTCCGTCTCCGTCGTTCAGGCGTTAAAAACGTCATCTACCTCATCGAAGAGTTCACCGTCCCCTCAGACCCCAACAGCGCCATGGCAGGCAAATACAATGAGATGGTAGCCTCCGCCATAGCCTCAACACAAGTCGTCAACGGCTACTTCGTGAAGAGAACCAAGAACCTCGACGACACGATCCAATACCTAGCTAGAATGACCCTCCTATTGCGCAGAATGTTCAACAGCCCCTCTGCCACCGGTGAACCAGCCTCCAACATCCTCAGTCTAATCCCTAGTCGCCAGCTCACCTCCTCCCAATCATATCTCACAGCCCTGGAACGTCTCCGAACAGAGAGCCCCAAGACCACTTACGCCGTGACCTTCTCCACCTTCTCCGCCCTAACCTCCAAATCCGACGTCTTGACCCTCCGTGACGTGTTCCTGAAAATGCTCATGTGCATCCGGGGCGTGACAGGCGAAAAGGCACTCGAGATTCAACGGAGGTGGCCGACTCCGCAGGCATTTATCCGTGCTTTTGAGGAGCTTGATCCGAAGGATCGGGAGAATATGGTTTCAGAACGGATGAACACGCTCGTTGGACGGAAGAAGATCGCAAAGGTTCTGAGCAAGAAGATCGCAGAGGTATGGGGTGAAGATGGTTGATTTATTTCTAGAGGGATAAGGATCCATTTAGGAGTTATTAACGAGTGACGCATGAGAGCAGAATTCATTTAATATGTAGGATGAGTTATATAAAAGCGCACAGTTGGTGACT